TCAAATTTAATAAAGTTAGATCATCAGATCGCATCAGATCGCATAGTTCCCAATATGCTTTCGGGAGTTTTAAATGTCGATGGGCAACGATGATCAAGTTTTAGGAAGACAAAAAACGTTGGAAGGATACTACTATGTAGGTGTTAAATAATTACTTAATAAAAAATATATATACAAAGATGGTTGCTTGATTATATTGTTATCACATATCTATTGTTGTTGTTTTAGCAGCGGTTCAATCAGACCGTGCGGCCGTGTTCTTCTTTCTTTCAAACTATTAAATTATGTTTTCATGGAGAGCGATGTATCTCAAAATGTCCATCAATTTTCAGAACTCATGCTTTGTAAACAATCACGTAACACAATAGATCTCAGAAGGTATCAGTGTTACTTATCTAAAGTAGTTCATAACTTTTAAAAAGACTTGTTTGATCATGGCTGATATAATGTAGAGCAGGATGTGTTTTCTCGTATTTTAAACATTTAACATAAGAAACAAACATTTGAAATGTATCCTAGTATTTATAAATGCATGTGGTATGAGATGTTAACATACCGAAAGTAAAGGCTTAGGTTCATGGGAATATGACAATATTCTCCGACTTATGAAACTGTCATTTTGTTCTTATGTTCATTTATTGTAATGAAATATTTGTAAGATTGTTACATTTGTTTTATTTCCACGTGCAGGTTTTGAACTACTAGTTTATTGGCGGGTTTTTGATGATTTATTATATATCAATTATATATGCAGTAAATAAATCTACAATCACTTCATCACGTGGTATATCAAAAGTTTATGCAGTAAATACATTTACAATCATGCCATCACGTGGTATATCAATTATATATGCAGAAAAAAATGCAATCACTTCATCACGTGGTATATCAATTATATATGCAGAAAATAAAAGTACAATCACTTCGTCACGTGGTATATCAATTATATATGCAGAAAATAAATGGACAATCACTTCATCACGTGGTATATCCATTATATATGCAGTAAATAAAAATACAATCATTTCATCACGTGGTATATCAATTATATATGCATAAAATAAAATAAATGTACAATCACTTCGCCACGTGGTATATCAATTATATATGCATAAAATAAATGTACAATCACTTCATCACGTGGTATATCAATTATATATGCAGAAAATAAAAGTACAATCACTTCATCACGTGGTATATCAATTGTTTATGCAGTAAATAAAGCTACAATCACTTCATCACGTGGTATATCAATTATATATGCAGTAAATAAAAGTACAATCACTTCATCACGTGGTATATCAATTATATATGCAGAAAATAAAAGTACAATCACTTTATCACGTGGTATACCATTATATATGCAAAAAATAAAAGTACGATCACTTCATCACGTGGTATATCAATTGTTTATGCAGTAAATAAAGCTACAATCACTTCATCACGTGGTATATTAATTGTCTTTGATGATTACAATATAGTGTTCACAGTCACTGGCTCATACAAACAAACGAGTGTGCCAAACTTTTTTCAAAATCCTGACATGATTCATCTCATTTATTTATAACGAGAAATGCACATACAATATATATATATTATTATTATACACAATATATAAAATTTGAATATGTTAAAACCGCATCGCAGAAACACGTTCATTCAATTGCATTCAGGTCACTTTTATTTCCGTTCTATTTATACACTAGATTATACTCACTTGACCTGCAATATCACTGATAACAAGGTATATCTAATTTTTAAAAGCACGGGAAAATTTTAATTTTAACGGAAACAAAATAGACATTTTCAGGTCATTTTGTTCAGGCAGGGTGAATATAGTAAAATATAATTACATCCATAGAGTGAAGTTTCTGTTCAGTCCGTCACTCATTCCTGCCACTCTTCTCCATAGACATTGAATTAAACTATCGCGTCGATGTTGAAAACATACAATGGAACACCTCTAATTTTTTATTGTATGACATGGCAAATAACATATAAATTCTTTGAACCATTTACCTAATAATCTGTCGGTATGAGCTGCATGTTCGGGCTTGCAGTTGCCATGGAAATCACGCATGGCATTGTCACATGTATATAGCTAGGAAATACTGATTTGTTAACAATAATATATTTGGATATTGTACATTTGTGCCGTTTCAATTTCAATAATAATACAACAAAATTATTAATGTATTTGAAGTCAAAGGTCAATAAATATTGCGGTTATGTTTAAGGAAAAAGTTATCAATATTTATTGACAAGTTACTGCATACTTATGTTCTTGTACATCCACGTAATGGTGAAATAATTGTTCAGTTATGCAGGCAAACTACAGTCTTTGATTTTGAACATTAAAGAGTAGTAGATATCATAGGTTAAAGGTCAAATGTTATCGAGGTAGAGAAAAACTTATAATAATTTTTTCGTTAATATGCAAATCTATAGTGTTATGTTAAACCTAATCCGGTATAACTCTTTGCGCGCCTTTGTCAAGTGTTAACAGCTTCTACTAAATGATTTTTTTACAGCATGCTCTTCCTCACAAAAAAATGATGGAAATTGACAAACCTTTTAATCCAAAAACTAAAAGCAATATCCGAAACTGTTTGTATGTTCAAACTTGATGACAAAATTCAGTGACTGTTCTTTTGCACTCAAACGTATAGAATTGTTTTTGCACTCACGAGACTATGTATACTATTCTTGAATAACTAGTTATTGCTGCTGTTTCATCATCCAAATATTATTCAATACGCATACATATAAATAAAATGATAACATCATTTTATTAGATAATAGCATTTTATCCGAAATAGCTCCACAATGAATGGTTTGTACGAAATGTCGTTCGGTAACCATGTTGGATTTTGTGAACACCACACTGTAGGAATTAATAGAATCCGACGGTAGCCGACCACCTTATAGTTCGCAGAGTGTATGTATATATTACTTTCACTTTGTCACTGCTAGTAGACATTCATGGAGCGTTATAACTATGATGTAACGCCGCCTTTTTGTCTGCAAACATTTACTCTGTTTGTTTTCTGTCACGTCATATAGGGGAATTCCGCTTGCATGTCTTTTTGAATGCTTAGATATGGATGAATACGATACTGCATATTGCACAGGTCGAAGGAAGATAATAGTGGTTTTACAAATTGTGTTGTTCCCGGTTTATCTCAAGTATTGTTTGTTGCTGTTTTTTATTGTTTTTTAGTAGTTTCACTATCTATACGTAGTCTTGCAGCCTGCTACGTTACGATCGTTCTGTTCAATGTCATTCACGTGAAGTGAAGTGTTGAAAACAGTTTCAGTCTAAAATGACAATAACAACTTGAAGACAGTTGATTTTTTCTTAATAATTTAATAACACATAATTACAACTAACCTCATCTCTCCAACCGTGTTTACTCTCTAATATTGGTGGTAGAATTAAGGGGAATTGTCGATAGGGTAGGGAAGTCTTTATTCAGTCTGACTGGGGTATCCGACTGAAGGATTACTTGCTTCTAACTTTTAGATTCCGGTTAAGGTAGAGATGCATGTTTGTGGGCACTTGGGAGTGAATTTCGTTTTTTGCTTTTTATTATCCAAACAGTCTTGGCTATAGACTGTTAAAATTTTGTAGAATTGTGAATAGTGGAACATACTCAAAAAACGATTTTAAAATATAGATAACAAGTGCAAACATTTTCATTTTTGAATGCTTAGCAAGATTTAGCAAGGCTGTACATAAATAATAAAAAAGAAACATGGTGAAAAAAAGAAATAACGGGATCTCCATATTATGCACTATATTTAACTTTTAACAAAACGATAATAGATTTAAATTTGGAACTGTTACAGCCATTTTAATTATGAGCATTAGCAAACTTCTTATTGAGTGAATTTTTATACAAATTAGCAATTATCTCAGCTTCTTTTTAGTGCACATCCCAGAACTCTTAAAAAATAGCTCCTAGACGCTTTGACCTTTTGTTTTGAAATTTTCACAAATGATTGACAATGTATTTATCTTCAAAACGCCGTCGGGGCATTGTTTTTGGTTGAACAGTGTTACAACAATCGTACAGACAACTAGCCTGGGTGTTAATTTATGCATAAACTTGAAGTAGTGAAATTTGAGCTGCTGCCCTGCAAAATTGACAACTGGTAGACAGTTTTCAAGACGGCGCTTTCTACATAGTAAACAGATGTACCCACAAACCAATTTTGACAGGAAACAGAAGCATGGTTTACCATCAAGAGCTTGATTCATCGAAATGACGTTGAAAACAAATAAAGGGTCACCAATTATTATTTATCATGACATGACAAATTTATAAATACATGTTTGTTTAATTATTCACTGAATTCACTAATTGGCTGCATAAACTGACTGCATATAGTCATGATCAGACACGCAGCTTCCATGGAAATCATTCATATTTTTGACAAGGTAAAATTCATTTTTAAGAACATTATATTTAAAAATGTCTAATTGTTAGCCTAGTGTATACATACAATACAGAGAAATGTAAAGCATATGTCTTCATGTGAAGTCAGAATTATCAACTGGAAAATCGAAGTAATAAAAATAAAACTAGTTTTACGAGTCGCTACTATATGTATTGTGTGTTATTGTTAAATTGGGCTGGTGAACCGCGCAATATTTTTAATTTGTAAAATCTGTAAAGCTTTAAAACAAAACATTACTCACGTTGTCACATGCATAGCATGTTAGATAATATAGTAAAAGAGAAATGATACAGACATGATACGATACATATCAACATATATCTGAAAAGCTGTATTTGAAGTCATTGTTTTATATTGAATAAATCACTCACATAAAAAACGCCCTCAATATTTATTATTCACAAGTTATCAATATTCGTTGAACGCATCAAGATCTACTGGCATTCCGGTATATTGTTGACATGGGTTCACTTCGTAGTATGTTCTGTCGTCATGCAATGTGTCGAAAATTCATCATCATTTGTTGTGCTGTGGTGAACATGGTGCAATCGCATGAATTTTATGACTTGAAACCTGTCAAGTTGGGGTGTGAAATTCGTGGCATTGACATTGGAAATCCTATACCCGAGGAAGTGATCGAACAAATAAAAAAGGACGTGACCGAACACCGTCTGTTAATTTTCAAAGATCAACATAATATTTCACCGAATGGACATGTGAGAATCGGCAGATGGTTCGGGGATCTGGAGTCGTCATTTTTCACACAACATCCTAAGTCGCCATTACGTGACATATACCGCGTGTCGAATGACGGTTCAGAAGGTTTACGTGCAATAGGGACCACATCATGGCATAGTGATTGCCTGTATTTGCCAAAGTTTTGCAGTTATTCAATCTTCCATGTTATAAATGTTTCTAAAGAAGCTGAAACAGGTAACTGACACATTTAATAAATAGGGATTTCTAATAAGATTCTCTTTTTACATCATCGTCTTTTTCTTAGGCGTTCATCATGTATAACGATTTGTCTTGACACATAACAATATCTCTTTTTGGAAGTTTTTCAACTGGATATATTTGTATAATTCAACAAAATGAATCAGAAAAAAATAAAACATTAACATTAAATAAAGAAAGAAAATTTCGTTTCCAAACAATGTGTTATCGAATTTAATGCTATCAACATAAACTCGAGCTTAACATATCAACATGGGTTTTAAAACAAAGCTGTTAACTGTTATAATAACTGTCTGTTCACTGGGTATAATAAAGGCCGTAATACGGGTATGTTGCCATAGGAAATTTTTCATCATGTTGACATATGGTACATCATTCATTTTTAAATGTTTTCAGTAATATATGTGAAGTAAACTTGAAAATTAAGAAACTAATTTCGAAAAATGCAGTCGATGCCATTGGGCCTTATAGTACGCACATAACTGGAACTCTAATTGAGTACGCCAAATTATATTAAGTTAAATTAAAAGCTAATAGCTAACATGGTTTTGAACGTCAATACTTTGCTTGTGTGATAACGTGTGATGTATGTTGGATATTAAAGCCTTTGTCGGGTCCAAATCGAGCCCATTAGATACATTTTATGAAATAATCAACCGATAATGTCATAAAATGTACCCAATGATATATGTTGTTTTTCTTAAAAGATGTTTTGATAATACTTGCAAGTTGAAGCATTCTTTAGACACAAATGGCCCAAATTATGGACATTTTCCCACAAATCCAAGACTGATATTTTTATTGTAAACTTCAGCCATAAATGCTACAGGCAAAATATCATGATGACTGGTTAAAACACTCATAAGAAACAAATGCCCAAGATTGTGGTATTTTGTGCGAAACACGTGACTGATCAATATTATTTATTTTTTTCCGTAAGAAGCTATGGCCATATACATGCCAAACGTCAAGTTGACTAGTTAAAGTGGTATTTAAAAATAAATGCCTCACATTTCGTCCATTTTTAGCAAAATCCAAGATAGCTGAAAAATCATGAGATTGTTCCGAATTATTTGTTTAGATTCTGAAGAAGTTCAGTATAAAGATGTAACAATATTTTAAATAATTGAATAAATCTGTAATAAAACTACTTTTTGTTTATAATAAACACGAGATCAATCATAAAGAGTTCTGCAACCTTTAATGAGCAGCCATATTCGGAGAAAAATATTGAAGGTAAAATTGACGTGATCAGTTACGTTTTTATTCGTGAAATAGGTAGCCCATATGTCATATTGGACAAATTAACCAAATATGGAATGCTAGACCCTCAGAAAAAATCAATGTGGCCACTTCTATTAAACTTCAATGAAAGATGGCCGCAAAACTAACCGACGAATCAAAAATATGAAAGTGAGGTGCGTCAGTTCTCATTGTCCCCAATATGCTTTCAGAAGCATTTCAGAAGTCTATGGGCAACAGTGATCAAGTTCTAGAGCATAGAAACGTCCGGAGAATACTATTCTGTAGGTGTTAATTAATTAGTTAATGAATAAGAAATATATATGAAATAATGGTTGCTCAATTATATTGTTATCACATATTTATTGTTGTTGTTTTAGCAGAGGCTCATTCAGACCGTGTGGCAGTGATTTTTTTTATATATCTCAAACAGTTTTAAGAACTCGTGATTTATAGACAATTACCCAACACAATAGGTCACAGAAAGTATCAGTGTTACTTATCTAGTATAGTTCATAGATTCCTAACAATGCCTATTTGACTACGACTGATATATATTAGAGCAGGATGTATTTACTATACCATGTGAAATTAAATGTCTGAAAGTTTTTATTTATTTAAATGTATCATATAATATTTACATTGGATATGATATGACACGGTAACATAGTATAAAATATAACAAGCAATAAGTTCATGAGAATATTAAACATTCTCTAACTCGTAACACTAATATTTAGTTATTTAGATACATTTTAATGGTTATGTGCATTTTGCAAAATTGTTACTTTTTTGCCACGTGTAGGCTCTGAAATACTGTATTTCATTGGCGGGTTCTGTTGCATGACGTCTGAACAAAATGTGTTCTCATACTAACAAACGAATGTGCCAAACAAATGAGACTTTTTTTCAAAATAATTTAACCTGACGTGATTCAGCTCATTTTTTAACTGCGGAAAATCCACATACATGATACTGTATTATTATCCACAATATATAATATTTCAATATGGTAAAACCGCATCACAGAAACACGTTCATTCAGTTGCATTTACGTCACTTTTATTTCCGTTCCTTTCACACAGTACATTATATTCACTTGACCTGCAATATAACTGATAACAAAGAATATCTAATTTCAAAAAACACAGGAAAACATTTTTATTTTTTAATACATAGTGACGCTATTAGTTTTAGCAGCATTATTTATAATGAATGTATATACTTAGTATAATACGCCCTCATACGTGTTATCTATATATTTATTAACCGCATCAAGTTCTATGAGCACTCCAGTACATCGTTAACATGAGTCAACCTCGAAGTACGATCTGTCTCCGTGCATTCTGCATAACATTCGTCATCATTTGTTGTACTATGGTGAACATGGTGCATTCACGTGAGTTTTATGACTTGACACCTGTCAAGTTGGGATGTGAAGTTCGTGGCATTGACATTGGAAATCATCTAGCTGAAGAAGTGATCGAACAAATTAAAAAAGACGTGACCGAACACCGTCTGTTGATTTTCAAAGATCAACATAATATTTCACCGAACAGGCATGTTGGAATCGGCAGGTGGTTCGGAGATCTGGAGTCGTCATTTTTCACGCAACATCCTAAGTCGCCATTACGTGACGTATACCGCGTGTCGAATGATGACTCGGAAGGTTTACGTGCAGTGGGAACTGGAGCATGGCATAGTGATTGCTTGTATTTGCCAAATTTATGCAGTTATTCAATCTTCCATGTTATAAACGTTTCTAAAGAGGCTGAAACAGGTAACCAACACAAGTTAAAAAAATGAAACTTTTTGATCATTTTTTCGATTTTTCTTGTTCTTGACGCATATCAATATGTTTCTCCTCTCAGTGTTTTTTTCTAGTGGATAAATTTATATATTAGAACGAAAGAAACCAATAATTTCAATTGAGACGAAATATTCAGACCCCTTTTCCCCAGTCATTTTGAATATAATAATGTTTCTATACAATGTGTTGTTCATTACCAATACTGTCAATATTAACACAATCGAGAGTTTAAATGACTGCCATGATTTTTAAAACCGTAACACCAATTATTCCTTATCACGTGGCATGGTAAATTTATAAAGACACACTCTTTTTAACTGTACACTAAATATAATAACACACAGCATATGTCAATGTTCGGACATGCAGTTGCCATGGAAATCATTCATCATTTTTGATGTGAAATATATTTTAACATCGGAATTGTCTGCAGTATTATATCCATCAAATACAGAGAAATGTTATGTCCGTTTTTCTTATTTGGAGTACGAAATATCAACTGAAAGTAAACAAACTTGCTATGAGAAAGTTAGTGGAAACCCTTGTCCTTCGATGCAACGACGTTGCGTCATATATTTTTACATGAATGCATATGTAATTGTTGATATATGCTCGTCTCCATAAACATGGACTTAAACAACCGATGTGATGTGGAAAACAAACAATGGAAAACATATTATATTTGTTATTGTATGACATAGCAAATTGCAATTAAATTCTATAAACAATTCACCTAATAATCTGTGGCTGTGATCTGCATGTTCGGGCATGCAGTTGCCAAGGAAATCACTCATGACTTTATCACATCTATATAGCTGGGAAATATTGATTCTTGATAATAGTATATTTACAGATTGTACAGTTGCGCCGTTTTAATTTCAAAAAATGATCAATGTATTTGAAGTCAAGGGTTAATCAATATTGTGGTTATGTTTAAGTTGGACGTTATCAAAAGTTACTGCATACATATGTTCATATAAACAATTAATGATGATATAATAGTTCATTTATGCAGATAAACTACATACTTTGATTAAAAAGAATTAAATAGCCGGTAGATATCACGGGTTAATGGACAAATAGCATCGGCGTACAGAAGCATTTACATAATATGTTCTTGAATGCCCAAATCTATCGTATTAGGTTAAACCTGAAATGAAGCATTAATCCGGTTTAACTATTTGCGCTCCATTGTCAACTGTTGATAGCATCTACAATATGATTTTCTACAGTCTGCTCTTCCCCACATGAAATGTTAATCAAAATTGACAAACCTTTTAATCAAAAATTAAAAGTAATATCTGAATCTGTTTGTATGGGGCAACTTGAGGACAACATAGAGTAACTATTTAGTGTCCGGGCGATGTGGCTAAATGTGGTGCGTGTCTGCTTATAGTAACGTGGCATGTTTTTTCTACATGCGAGTTCGAATTTAATTCTGAATATGAGAAGTTGCCCTCAATTTTGTGCGGGGATAATATCTGGCACTCAATCCGTTATAAATGTATACCTTTCATTAGAGTATGTGAATTGTTCTTTGATAAATAGTTATTGTTAGTGTTTCATCATCAAAATGTCATTAACATCTCATACATATATATTGTAACATCACGTTCACCAGTTGAGCTACCAGTCTATATGATTATACACAAGCATAATTAGGTTAATATTTAATCGTATGATTTGTTCACTATATGTAAAATAAAATGTTATAAATAAAATGTTGGGTATGATTTTATTAGATATGATCTAGAAGCAATGGTAAATAGCTCAAAATGAATGTCGTTTGTGCGAAAAATGACGTTTAGTGACCATGTTGAATTTTGTGAAATAACAGTGTGCAAAAAACACCAATATATTACTGATGGTCTGTTTTAATAGAAGCCGACTACTTTCTGTTTATATCATGATGTTCGCAGTGTGTCTGTATATATTACTTTCATCACAGCCCCTCTATAGACCAGGCTGGAAACGGACCATATTTCTTTAAAACAGTGCTCTTCACGGGTAAATAAATGATTCACACCTGCAGATTAGCGTGCATATCATTAGCGTTGTTTTTGACCCTCAAGAGACGGATTGCGGCCATATTAATATATATGCCCAGAATGCAAAGCGCCTGACTTTGAACGCATGCGTATACTATACCAAATTTTGATTTCTCTGACAACCAGTTGCATAGATCGAAGGAATGTAATGGTGGTTTTACGAGTTGTAGAGTTGTTAGGTTTTCCTTAATTCCAGATTATCGTTTGTTGTTATTTTTATTACTTTTGTGCAGAAAACTCCGTCTCTATAAAGCTGTGCTTAATGTGCTAGCAAAACAAAGTCAGATACAGAACAAATTTTAAAAGCAGTCTTGCAGCCCATAGCGGTACGAACAGCCTGTGCAATTCACAGCTTGTGTGCATTAATGATAAAGTGTTGAACAGTTTCAAACAAAAATGACAATAGCGACATTGGCCGTCACGTGATCTCCGTGATCAACATTGGGAGGCTTATATGTGCAATGACGTGTTTGTGTATATCTATACTCCGAGAGATGATGTATAGGCTGTTTCCATTAGACACTCGAATTGGAGCAAACCTGTGCAAACAAGATACCAATTCCAAGTACAGGGACATTAAACCCTATTTGCGAATGAATATCCCAGAATCCTAAACGTCTTGTATGTAAGGATACAGATTTGCCGGAGAGATGCTCGAAAAAATAAGACATAACGATAGAAAAACAACTTATTTGTGTGTTTAACTGGCATGCAGTCATAACATGATTTTTGTATAAACATCCGATGTTTTGCCTAGTATCTAGTTATTATTTCATTTTAATCGAAGTTCATGGATGTTCGAACTAGTTTTGTAAGTCGCCTTATTTTAGAAACGATATTATATTTCTATGCTTTTATCGTGAATACATTGTAAGATTGTACGGTCATGTAGCCAAACACGAGAGTTAGGAGATACAAAACATATGGTGAAAGTTGAAAGCACATGATTTCGCGAACCTGAGATTTGAAAGCAAGGAACTTTGTGTTTGTATGAGACATAGCTAATTCTGAAGTATAACGATTAGCTGTGTCAGTGGTTGCGGTTGTGATTCCAGTGGATCGTGCCTAAAATGAATGTTTGAATGAATTTTTGAAGGCACTCCGTTTGAATTCATGAATTAAACCATGAATTATTTGATTTCTTGGTAACCATTGCAAAGTATAAGATATAACATATCGTACGCGGCTATTAATTTTGCAGTGTGGGGGAACGAGGCTAAGGTAAAGCAAATCTTTAAGACCCCACTTTGCATCACGTACATACAAGATAACATTGAAATCAGATTAGTTATTAACGGATATTTGGCGGATTTTGTGCATACCAGTCACTGTTTCTTGTGCCCCTTATTGATCGAATCAGTTGTTGTTCTTGTGCACAATTGGCCCGAATCAAATTTCGTTACGGATTGCCCAAAGTGTTTCGATCTCGAACGTAAAATCTGCGAAAAAAAGCGTAGATTGTGCGTTTGTTAACGCAAAACCGCTGGCTTTCGCTGTCGGTCTTAATATTTTTTATTATTATTATTTATTTATTTCACAAGAATGACCATTATAACAGAACTTATAAACAAAATACAATAGTAGTAATTCCGGTGTGAACCATGGAAATAGTCCATTTGGACTAGTCCAGTCCAGGCCCAGACTGTCAAGTAGAAATTTACAATTTACGTAACGAAAATTAAAAGGTAATCTATATGATTTAGATATCAAAATGACTAAAATATTATGTGTAATAATAATATAAACGAACTACTGGTACAACGAATTTATATGCAGAAGAAAAAAAATGCAGAGAAATGGGAGGTAATCGAGGAATTTAACAAAGCAAATAATGTTTCATTTCATATTTAAATTTGTGTCTGTTGTTGCTGTTTTTGAGGGAGTCTGGAAGTGAATTCCAGTGTTTTACTGCAGCAAATTTAAAATGATGTTGTGAAACTGTAAGTTGCGCAACATGAATTGACAAGTTACCGCTAGATACTGAACTTGTGGGATAGCAATGTGGGTAATCATTAACATACTTATTGAGGCTATGTGCATATCTGTTGTGTTTAAGGTCGAAGATAAATAGGCAGGTTTGTAATTTACAAAGTTTGTGAATATCAAGTATGCGTAATTGGATAAAAAGATGAGCAGAATGTTCTTTAAAGTGCGAGAAGGTGATAAGGTGCACAACTTTTTTTCTGTAAGAGCAGAACTAGTTCAGGAAGTGTTGGGTATGTGTTACCCTGGAATTTCAATACTGTACATTAAGTGTGGGAGAATAAGTGTGTTGTTAAGTAGGATGAGAATTGATCTGGGAACATAATGACGAATGCGAGATATAATGCCCACTTTGGGACTAATGGTTTTCAAAGACTTTTCAATATGAGAATTCCAATTTTGGCATGGGTCAATGGTTACTCCCAGATAAGTTGCTTTTGACACGCCCTCTTTCAACGTATCAATGATTGCGAGCTGTCCCTCCACTTTTACTTTTCTTTGCGTGGTTTTCAGGATCATATAGTTTGTTTTTTCTATATTAATTGTTAATTTATTAGTATTGCATTACTGTACAACATTTTCAAAATCATTGTTAATATTAAAAAGATCAATAGAGTTAGTTTGCAGGAATTTAAATAAATTTGTATCATCCGCAAAGAGGCGGAAATTGAAAGCATCAGTAGAGTGGTTAATATGTATGTAGAGAAGAAAAAGTGAAGGCCCTAATATTGATCCCCGGGGCACCCCGTATTGAATCTGTCTGGATGTGGATGCAGTTCCGTCAATGTTTACTGTTTGGTGTCTATTAGTTAGGTAGCTTCGGAACCACGAAAGCGGGAGACCCCTTATCCCATAATAAGCAAGTTTTTAGAGGAGAATATTGTGGTCAATAGTATCGAATACTTTTTTAAGTCAATGAACACCCCCCCCCAAATGTAACAAAACCGTTGCCCATGTTGGCAGTGATATCAGAAACAAGGTTAACTAGGGCAAGAGCGGTACTGTATTTTTTCCGAAAACCATATTGTGAGGACAAGAGTATGTTGAACTTATTTAGGAAACCAAGTAGCTGATGATTTACAGCTGATTCAAATATTTTACTGAATACAGATAGAATAGATATAGATCCCTTTTTATATACTGGTGTGATTGTGGCGAGTTTGAGAGAGTCAGCAAAAATTCCTTGAGCTATAGAACAGTTAAGAATGTGCGCTAGAGGTTTAGAAATCTACTTTACAGCATCAATTACAAGTTTAGGATGCACGTGATCATGTCCCATTGCTTTGTTGGGGTCTAATCGGCAAATACATTTCATAACATCCCGTTCTGTGACTGCTTGAAGGAAAAAGGACGACGGGAAATTCCCTGTGAGATAGTGATTAAAATTTACAGATGAGTGAATTTTTCTAGCTAGCTCAGGGCCAATATTTGCAAAGAAATTATTGAATTCATTTGCAATATCGCAACTTCCTGTCAAAACTTTATCGGGAGCATCACGTGATTTAAGTCTTTGAGGGGTGGTCATATTATTGCATTTATTTAAAATGCTGTTAATTGTTATCCAAGTCTTACTCGTATTCCCATTTGCGGAAATAAATTTATATTTAAAATAACGTTTTTTTGCCAATTTTAACAGTTTTGTCAGAATGTTTCGATATTGCTTGTATTTAGCTTTGATATCAGCATTTGTGGGGTTGTTTTTCATACTAAAAAATAATTTATTTTTAGTCCTAGCTGAATTAACTAGACCCCTGGATACTTTATAAGTGTGTTATATTCACGTCATACGCAAAATAATTATTAACAAAATAGTGTATTATCAAGTACTTTAGTTTCTCCCATGGATATTTCTAAAAGTGTTATTACCTTACAGATTTTGTGCCCTTGAACGAGATAGTTGAAGGATTGTCAGAATCCCAACTAAGTAAATGGGAAAAGCTATGGTTAGTTGTAATCAGAAAAGAAGTACGTGTTGACCATCCATTAATTTATTCACACCCAGAAAGTAATAAAAAGGTAAATTCTACATTTATTTTTTTCCTTTATCGTAATCATCCTTGTTACATTTCATTCAGAAATATTAATTTTATGAAGCGCCGCGAACAAAAAAAAATAACTTGAATCAACCAGTATTACTAGCGTCTCCAGTTCTTAAATGTCACTATCGTGTAACCAAATGTAATGCATTTGTGATGTATATTCTTGTAGGTGTTATCTCTACCAACTGGCTTTGTTAAGGCTTTTGCGTGGGACACTGGCGACGGTACCAAGTTTCTCAGTGATAGGGAAGGTTCAACTGAGATTCGCAATGAAATACTTAGTGTGCTGAAAAGGCGTCTTGAAGATCTCAAGTACCCACACATGGTAATTGTTTGTTTTTTAATTCAAATAATTCATTTGTGATAAACATTCGCACATTTCCTTAATGGTGGATTGCTTAACTATAACAGTACGTTTAAACATATGATCATTCAGTGAAACATTATGAATACGATTACGATGTTGTGTAATTTTCTTACAGTGGGAAGTTGGTGATTTTATCATAGCCGACAATCAGGCTGTTGCACATTGGGCGCCGCCATCATCGCAGAAACCGCGAACGGAAGTTGGTTTGCGTGTTTTACACAGAGTGACGGTAGCTGGAAAGGAAGCCCCAGAAAGAAAATATGATTCATTCAAAGAAAAAGATGAACTCTAATAAAATAGTTATTGTGCTGCTAATTGACACACTTATTCTTTTGTTATTCTAGTAATATATATCGTAGGGGAAAAAAATCTTAGATGGTGTGTCAATTATTTGTTTGTAATAATGGTAAAGTGAAAGTTTTTTCTTCAATATTCTGTAGAAAGCTTTTGTTGAGTTGTTTTTAATTCTGTTTTGCGTACGTCGTATGGATGAGTAATACTACTTCAACACAAATAGCCGCGGCCAAGCTCTCGTTGAGTGCGAGAGCCACGAGATTTCAAATAGTGTTACGCTGCTTTTCGTCATCGCATCCACTTTTTCAGATACTATGGTCACCAAGGTTACAAACATAGTTTGGGAAAAAATGTCTTGTAGCTGTTTTTCTCTCAACGATTTAGTAAAAATGTAGAAATGTGAGCAGCTAGATTTAGATTTCGATTTAGACTTAGATTTAAAAAAAATATTATCGAACATGCTTTACGTTTCACTGCGTATGAGTATTAATATACACAAACTACGTTTCGGGTCATTGATAACGGCGTTGAGGCATACGTTGGTATAAGTTACACGGGGGTGAAGCCCGCCACCACAGTCTAAGATCATTGAATCTATTGCGTACAAAACTATGTATGTGTATATGACTTTCTGGAAAGCATAGGTGGGGCTAATTTCGTCCACAGAGATACTGTAAGTGCTTTACCAGCTTTTTTATTTAAACGGGTGTCACAAAAAATAACAAAATCCCCGACAGAAAATTTACCTTTCACAATTGAAAACTACCTGTAGAGATTCCTTTTAGTTGTGTCAGCGCTGACGAGTTTTTATGCTCGTGAACTATATAGGACGGGTGTTATCATTGCTTTGTGCCAGGGGGTTCTCAATAAAATCGACTTACTTGCTTCCTGTGAGCGTTGTCTTTTGTAATTTTCCGATATTTCTAATTTAAAATTCCATATTCTTATTCTTATTCTTATGCATATTCTTTTAATAATTATTCCTAACATTGTACCCAGAATGCAATTTATCTATCTATCTATATGCAACTTCAAAATAAATAATATACGCATAACATGTAGTAAGCAGAGGTTAATCAGTACACATACGAACGTGTAATAAGTCACGCCCTCGTGCAATTATAAAAAGCAAATGAGAAATCCCGTAACAACACACAGCGTAGAATATTACAAACAAACCCGTTTTAGAAAAATAACAATTTTCTGTGCAATAGACTTATCTTAGAAATAACAGTGTCGGAGCACTTTAAAATATTAATAACAAAGTTCTGACTGTTATAGAGAAAATGAATGAAGAACACAATTCCCGTCTTAATGCACCAAATATGGGAGTGGAATGAGTTACAAACATTCCACACTCGCAGATACAGTCCAGTTCAAACCCCACTAATAAGCAAAATGTGTTGTTGTATTCCACCTGTCAGATTATCAACATATTTACGAGGGTATACTGACCATAACCGTGAGTAATACATATTGGTACAGAACGTTCGAAATAAAGATAACTTATCATTAGTACTAAAATCCTCACAATTCTTAAGTGAGGTATTTGCTCTGATATAAAAACATTTATTTCGACGCTTATTAAGAAAGTCACTATAGAAAGAATCAGCTAAAATACAACCCAGTGAAACGTTATGTGAAACAAATGGGAGGCCATTTAGCGGCGACATTGTCTTGAGACGATGATTGCCTACTCAACCAGAGTTGTTAGTCTGGCATTGCTTGTACCAATTTGCGTTATTTTAACGTTATATAAACGCTTCGTCGCTTGATGAAGTCACATGTTATTTAGTAACATATTGATTTACGTGAATGAACTATTCATCTTTGCACATTTATAGAAGTGTAGTAAAAGCGCTCTACCTATATGTATTACAGGCACTCATACAATACAAATACAAAAATATTTACAAAAATAATATAATTTAAAATAAAAAGAAAGCTCAACTTATGGCATTTAAAATAGATGTCTTAAAAGAAGATAGACTCGTAAAAATGTCTACTGAACCAGCAATATAAATAATAAATATGACATATAATAATGTGCGCTTTATTAGACCTAGCATTTTGTCTGCTTTTGTCACAATAGTGCCAACATGAGCGGACCAACTAAGGTTATCCATCAATATGACACCAAGGTCTTTAACTTGAGTGGCACGTTCAATCGGCAAACCATCGCTCTTATAATTGATATACTTTGGGAATTTAGCTTGAGAAACCAAGCCTAGCATCAATCATGGAGCCTATTTATACATTACCGAGGGTCTGTAACATTTATGATAGATTTATAAAGTGTTGTATCATTGGCATAAGTACCATCGCTATGATGAACTTATGTGATCGGGTGGGGGGGGGGGGTCGTTCACATACATAATAAACAGTACTGGTCCCAAAATGGAGCCCTGTGGCATTCCATATGTAATATCTGCCCATGTAGATTGCGCGCCTCCAATAACAACACGCTGTGTACGGTTACATAAATATGAGCATATCCTAATTGTGAATAGGTCCACTGATCCCATAATATTGCAATTTGTACGTCAGCAATGAATGCTTGATACTGTCGAATGCCTTAGAGAAATCGAGATTGGCAGAATTAACCTGTCTACCACAATCAATTTCCTTGGTGGTATAGTCGACTTACTCAACCAAATTCGTTGCATTCGAACGGCTTTTCATACATCCATGTTGGCTAGTATTTATAGTGTTTTTTTTATGTGACCATACAGTATGTTGTATACTATTTTCTCAAAAATTTTGCTGACAAGTGGCAACAAATATATTGGTCAATAGTTATATGCATCAGATCGGCACCCCGACTTAAAAACGAGAACAATGTGTGCTTTCTTAAAAATAGAAGGAAACTGTCCTGTGTTGACCGAAACATTGAATACAATTGACAACGGGCACATAATTCAACGGCGCATTTGTTAAGAACAGTCTCATTGGTCAATGCTATAAATAGCTTTTAACACTTGATCACTCGTTATTGTTATACTGTTCAAAACATTGTCGGTAAATAATCTGCAAAATAAATTGGCAATGCCGTCAGAGGAGTCGGTCTTGTGATCAAGGTGTGATACGCTACTAAGAAAGCTACGAGCTGGAGTACTCGGCGTAATCAACTACACTACCAGAAATACGATAGCTATGCCTTGCCTGTTCTTCTTGTTATGTTGCTGTGCAATACATGGTACTTACGCTTCTTTACCTTTACTTTCGATATACTGTCGTTGATGGCGCCATATAACAAATCATAAAATAACTCAGCACACTCATCAACGTCAGATGCACTTGAGAGTATATCCCATGGCAGCAAACTTAACACATATTGAGAAAACAAATATTACTAGATTTACTAGACAATATACAAGCTGTTTAATTGTTGGTATAAATCAACAACATTTTTGCCAAAACAAGAATCAACAACATTTTCGCCAAAACAAGATTGCAATTTTATCCTATATTTATTATACAACATAATCAATTAATGATTCATTAATTATTGGTAGCAATAATTTTCAAACTGAGCAATTTCAATTACAGTTTCCAATTATTTATAATGATTATTAATAATAATCTTTAATATATTCCTCAATACTGATATCAAATAAGCAGTTCCTCAAAAATCTAGTTTGTGCCACATTGGCTACCCAACCCAAACACCAACAGTCAGAACAATCAACTTGTTTGGTAAAAAATTGTCAGACGTATCAAATTTTGTCTTGCGTATATGCTCTGATTTAGCTGCAAAGCTGTACCTTTCCCCAATTGTGACACCTTACGTAACATAACCTTGCATTGCTGTATTTCTTGACGCGATTTGTATCTGAAACAAACGCAGATTTATCATATTGCTGTCGAACGTGATGCATCCGATTATTTTTGTTACAACTGCATCCTTAAGAGTTTGATAGAAATCACCTTTATTGTCAGGAAACTCATGTTACAGGAGGGCTGGCATAGTATCTGGACTGCTGTTCATTTTTCTTCGTCAGTATCTACATTGCAATGAGTCATTATTATATTGGTGAGGTACGGGGTACTGACGAAAATCCAGTACACAGGAAGTCATTACACAATAGAGAACGGATGATTTATTCTAAAACCAACACAATGTTTTACCAAAGATACATATGGAAGTTAGCAGTTGATTTGGTGATTTGGATTCGGAACTGTTAAAGAAGCATTCAAATTCCCGTTCGCAGTACATATATAACGTCGAAAGGTCAACGTAAGATAGTTGATACAGCGATTGTCTGTGTAAGCTACAATGATGCCGCTACGCTATTTATCATATGGCTAATGTTTCCAAGAAGACCGAAATAGGTAACTCATCTTTTAATCTTGGTTATTTTAAAACTTATCGTAATTAGAACGCTCGTATATAACTGACATTGAATTATGTGTGTTTTATTGTGCGTTAAAGGATAATATAGTCTAAGACAAAAGTAAAAGCCGTACTTCCTTCGCACAGTATACATAGTACACAGCTTTATAGAATTATAATACAGAACATTATTACATCATAGCATAACGAAAAACATGTGCATTTTTCCCTGAAAATAGTAGACTTACGCATATTCAATTATGTCCAATATCTAGAAATAAAATTTAACATCTCATCCCAATATGTCAATCTACCATTGTTATTATGCATTCATTTGCACGTTAGGACGTCCGGCTGTTATAAACACCATGTGCCACTTTTAACATATTTATGGTAATAAACGAGTATTAGGCTAATTAATATTTTTTTATATTTGGAATTTTAACTGTTATAAGCATCGAATAGTTTCTATGGCAATGATTATGCTTCATATATGTACAGGTCACGCGATATTATTGAAATATGTAGATTACCTGAATACTAATTTAGTACAGGATGTGATACAAATGTCATAAACAAGTCGAATATACTTGAACATTATATCCGAAAATGTAAGCACTACTTCAATGAGGTTATCCGTTATGCAGAAGTTTAAAAGCTCAACG